AAGTCAGAAGATGTAACGAGGACAGCCATTATTTATTAATTCTGGGTCGTCAATTGAGGGTCATCTATTCAGAGCCAACTCCCGGACTTCTTTGTCAAGCATGAATACACGAGAGCTGATCGAATAACTTTCGTATCCTTAATTTGATTTCAAAGTTGACTGGGACTCTTTGAACAGAGTAACCTGCATAAAGACGTATCTCGTTTGGCAGCAGGGCATTAGAAGCACTGTCTGTCAATTTCATTCCACTCTTGTTATTTTCATAATTGTGATCGTACATACGAATACTGAGATAATTTACGATTACACGTGCACATATCAATGACGTTCTGTACGATAAAAGGTGCATGACGTTTGGAATGTACCCAGTCCGAATCTTATGGTCTGTCCATTGGTTCTTAATAAGTTTCTTTTGATTTTTCACTATTTTTAGTTTAACAATATATCTACCGCATGCATCGTGAGATCCAAAATGATAAAAGTCTCCCTAATAATAAAGCGAAAATATTACCTAGCATGTTAAAAAAACCAAAATAAGTAACCGCAACGAAGGATTTATTTCGGATTATTTGAAGGACGTATTTTTTTGGGGGGGAAAAGGGGGGGGGGGTATTATTAGAGTGGCAAGCAACGAATCAGGATAACGGTATTCGATCCAAAAATAGAATAGAGCATCGACTGACTGAACGTAGTACCGGTGTGTGGACTACTCCTGTGGACTGTACTATCCTGTGTATAAATGTAGCCATATATATATATATATATATATATATATATATATATATATATATATATATAAATAAAATTATGACTTCTGTGTCTATGATGACTGAGCGACCACACCAAGTAAAATAGTTGGATGAAAAACAATGGTAGAGTACCAGCGCTATGTTACGATAATGTGGTATATAACGATGCTAGATGGGGATATATTAAAACTTTAAATGACGATTGTAATTATTATAAATGCATTAATATTACTATCTCAACTATGTATGTACAAGAAATAGATCACCTGGATCAGTCGTATGGAGAGGACTCTGTCATTTAATGAGATAGTCATAATAAACATATTTTATGTCGTTAAGAAAAATATTGAGCGTAATCGTTACTTTCATTAATGAATTACTCTAATAAGGTGAGCAGTTCAGTAGCTATTAACATATAAGATACTATAGCTGATGGTTAGTGTGATGTATTTCCGTCAGTATCAGTTACACTGTATTCTTAAATACTAACTATAGACAGCATTCGAAAAAATATCTAAAATGCCTGCGCAATATTTGTAGATGATCAGGGCACTTACGCGTTTTGTTGAAATACAAAATCAAAGGGCGATAGTTGCATGAATGTTCCGCAGCATGTTACAAAATTTTGATTTACAAATGAGATTTTATGTATGACGTATATGATACCACTTAATCAAACATTTATAAGCGGTACGATCTATATGCGATTAGTGAGTTGAACTGAAAGCTTTAAAATTAATACTGCCTAATTTTGGACCTACAAAATGCCTAACTCAACGCAGGGTAAGCTGATCCTATGATTAGTGCCGGTAGACAGGGAAGTAACACATTAATAGATACTAATTTAAATTATATGATGTAAATAAATGTTGTTTTCATTAATTTAAGATAAACGGAAATTGATAACATAAACACACTCTTTTTAAAAGCAGCTACTTTTTGCTAAATTTGTTTAGGCTAGTTTTATATATATATATATATATATATATATATATAGAATACAGCCTTTGCAAAAATGCTGATCGACATGTAATAAATTATAGAAAAATCCTAATAATAAAACGTTAATATGTAGTTAAGTAACATTTAGGAAACAGTAGATTAGTGAGGCAAGCGTTAGCGCCAGTTTTAATTGGTAGCATATATCGAGTATTAATTACTTAGTCTTATTATGTACTTCTAACTTATGTACTCACTATCTAAATAATACACGTTAGAGCACGGAAACGGTAATCACTCTGTCATGTCATTCCAGATTTTATTCTTATTTTTGTACTGTTTGATGAGACATACATTTGTTTGGTAATGCATGCAATTGATGACGCAAGCGGTAGTCATAATAGCGACTGCTCTTCCAATTTAAGGATATATTAATTTACCGTTCATAAACGGAAGAGCTAATAAGTTACCACTGGTTGTTTTACTAGCTCCGGTATGTGATTGTATAAACAAGTTGTAGGTATTATTTATAATCCGGCGTGTTTTATCATTTATTTAGTAATAAAGCATTAGTTCATAGTTTTCATTGTATACTTCATATATTTCCATTTAAAATTAAGTTCTGATGTTAGATCTATGTATCTGTATTGATTGATCTGTTTTATAAAAAAGCAATTGCATTTGCTTTCTACTGAACACTTCGACGGTGCAAGGGAGTAATGAATAATATGTAATTTCTCTTATTGTTATGAATAGTTATTGTCCAATACCCGTTTTCTACCTATAGTATTTGACACCTAATTTGATTTTGACCCGACTAAGTAGAAAGTCAACTATGTAAGTTTGACCTATGTTGAGACAGAGATTGTTAACACTTAATCAATACTTCTTTTTTTTTCATTTGTTCTGTAATTTCTCCCTCAGGTCGTTTGTTTGTGTGTGTAGTTCAGGTGCAACTATAGATATATATCAAGCAGCTAGTAGCTATATATATAACATTTACTGAAATTATTTATGTTTATGTTACAGAGAGTGAGTTTCTGAACTGAACTGTGACGGACTGATTTTTTAGCTGCTTTTCCTTGTTTTACACAGATTGCGCAAAAAAGTCTTTAGTCACTACTAGCGCATTTTCCATACACTGACCCGCCCTGAGTTCGCACAGGTTTTAATTAATTCCTTTTAGAAATTGAATTACTTGCCTACCCTTGTTTGAAGGAATAAGACTTTTTGAATGTTTAGCTTAATCTAATAAACAACTATTTTTCGAAGATTGTCAAGGATCAAGTAGTTTTTTTACATGGAATGAAGTACAGTGATTTTGAAACCTCAGGATAAATACCGTGATCAGTACAGGGTTTGTGCAGGTGTAATAATTTGCAGAGATCATTATAGCCTCTCTGTTAGCAGTTATGTAGATAGCAGAGGTTATAATTTTTTTTATAATATGGCTTGGGATTCCATTGTTATCATATTCTTAGATATGAAATGAGAACAGTCTGAAGTTGTTGTTATGGGTGACTTATAGACAAGAAGTATTTAAAACAACAATTATAATATTTTAAATAATACTCTTAGCTTTTCGCAATTCGCTTTTTTATTACTTTCTCTCTTTATTGCGTATACCTATATAACGTTTCATATATAATGCCATTTCAACTACGTCTTTTCTGTCAAACAACCAGCGACCTTCGGCAGAGATTGATTTTTTCTCATATCTCCGTATCTTATTCAAGCAAATTGTGCGAAAATTACTGCTATAGTTTAATAGGTCAGTTTAAATTTCTCCGATTTCTTCTTTCAAATTCCGCCGCCTGTAATATAGATACGTTATCTTAGGTGTGTCAATAACAAAGGTTATTTATATCTAAAAAACTGACTACTACCAACCCTCCTCTTAACAGAGATGAGAGCCAAGCCCAGTCTGTAACTGTGCTTGTGTCATTATAATTTTACTCTCCTTTGTAAAAGAAAGCTGTGTTTTTTTCATTATATCAACATATTCCTATCTTTTGTATTTTTTCATGTTTTCTCTGTATAAACATACATAGATTTTTTAATATGTAACCGTTTATTCATTGGATTCCAAATTTACTATTATCTTGTGTACTAAAGTAGTCTATTCTTGTATAGTAAGTCAAATTGAGTAGTTATTATTCTATTTTTAGGCTTATTTTCTAGACAGTGTGCTCGTTAAATTATTATACTTTCGTTGCTATTTTTAATTTCACTACTATTGGAGTTTCTGAGAAGATCCATAAAATTATTGTAACGTTAAAGAAGAGTACTCTTTTCATTTAAGGATTTCGTGTAATTTCCCTTAAAGAACACCAAGAGAACGACAACAAAAAATTTTAATCTTAACGTTTTCATGCTTGACCCTTGAATGACTATGAATTTGCTTGTCTATCAAATGCGGTTTACTATATTTTATTACATCTGAAACACCTTTCTTTTGGCATATATATATATATATATATATATATATGTAATATATATTAATATATATATATATATGTAATATATATTAATATATATATATATATGTAATATATATTAATATATATTTAAGATTGTTCAGTAGGACACGTAACACAGTGAAATCGAATTTCTTCGCCAACTGTCTTCTATTTCACTATTACTACCAATGATCTTTCTTTATTAAATAGTATAAATCTGACGTGCGACAGTGTAGAAGGCGTCGAAAGACAACCTCAGCATTATGTTAAGGTCTGAATAATTTCCTTATTGAAAACATGTCGAGATTTTGGAAAAATGGTAACCTGTGGGAGCAATATTTAGTGAGGATGGTGAGATTTTTACTGTCTGAGGTTAAGCGTTATCGTGTAATAGGAGCGGTTTGTCTCTGCTCACTAATCGTGGCTTCTCCGATCTCTCCCGTGACAGCATAGTGAGTGACGGCTTTGGGTGTTAAACACAGAAACAGAGAACTTGGAATCTCAGTGCAGAGACACTTCATCCCGTGATGGCAGCCCACCGTTTGAAGTAATGCTTACCAGGACTCTTGAAGCTGTAGTATATAAAATTTGTTTTACGCCATCAAACAGACTATAAATCGTTGTAGCTGTATATTCGCTTTAACATGATGTCCGGCCAGTTTGATTGCATCAATTCAACGATGTGACAGCGTGCGATTATGGTAGAGGCTCAGTTTTCCAACACAAGTCACAAACGTAACAATGGATCCCGGTAATAACGTGAGAGAAAAAAAAATTGGCGTCTCTACGTTTCTACCCTTGATCTTTGCCCAAATCATGCAACACTCATTTGTTCTCTTTTTTTATTTTATTAATTTGACTTAAACCTGACTGTTTGAGTTCAAAATTTTTCCTCCGGAAGCCTCTGAGCCAATGGCTTGCGGTGTTTCTAATAGTTAATCTTTCACCGAACATAAGGTTTATAAGGCGAGTCGTCTCTGCAGTTGTAGCTCCAAGGTGAGACTGCTAAAATTCTGAGCGACGGTATCCGGGTGAACGGTCCGTGATTTCACACACTACAAATGAATTTTGAATAGAAAAATGAGGTGCCGCGAAATGCGGCACCGTTATGAAATAGCGTCATATTAAAACTTGTACTTAGTGACTTGATATATATATGTATATATAGGGGCCATATTCTTATAAATTTGATCAGTGGAATGAAACATGTTGGTCGAGCACTGAAGAGACAGACTAAATGAAATGCATATATAACTCGTGATGAATAACTAAGTTTTCAGCTCAGAGGGCACCGGGCATTTTGTGATTAGTACTTGTTCTATCTGCCCTTAGCACTTCCTGATTCTGCCCCTAACGGTGCCCAGCCATGTGAAGATGTACAATGTCTCTTAACTAGATGGCTTTAACGTTACTTATTTGAATATGAATCGCACCAGGTCAGCATTGGTGCCATTCGAAAGCTGAAAGTTGGCTGTAACAGATGTGCTAACATCGTAAGGATGCTTGTATTCGGACTTAAAGGCGTCTTGAGGGTACGTGAAGAATATCTGCAAAAATTCACAATATTTTATTACGGTATATTTTATTACGATAAGAGCACAAATGCTGTCTAGCCTAAAGCAAAAAAAAAAACTTATTTATAGTTAAGATGCGTTATCGGAAGAAATAGTCTGAAGATGGTTCTGTCGCTTTCGTTCTGAAGATTTTGATGTGACGGGTGCTCCTGATAGTGGCAAACCAACTACCGAGGAGGCTGATGAAATTGATGCGAAAGTTGAGCAAAGGCGATGCGTGAGCAGTCGTGGAACCAACAAGGAACTAACATTCATTAAAACAATTTTAAACAATTTGAAGAACGATGGCTGCAAAAAAAGCTCGATGTTTGGATGCCGTATGAATTCAAGCGAGATTCTATTTCCATCAGCGAAGTAATAAAATCGAGCCATTTCTAAAGTGGTTAACGACGAGTATTTAAAAATGGATCACATACGACAATAATGTGCAAAGCAAAAAAAAAATTAAGAAGAATGTAGCCCATAATTTGTGGCAAAGCCAACACTGACGCTAAGGAAGGTAATGTTATGTGTTAAGTGGGATTTAGAGAGGAAACGTGCATTATGAGCTGCCGCCTGGTAAATAATGAACTCGGACTTCTACTGATAACAGCCAACAAAATTCCCACAAGCTGTTGAAAAAACGGATTGAAACTAGTGAACTGAAAAGGCTGTTCCATTATAACAAAACCAAACCACACACATCTTTAACTACTTGGCAAAAATTCAGAGAACTTAGGTGAAAAATTTTAGTGCATCCGCTGTTTAGCAACTTAGTTGCAAAGGAAGGTATGCAAAAGTAATTTCTCACAATTTTTCGCTCAGGAAGTTACAGAGGGGTAAGATTATTGTATTACCAGAAAAATGGAAAGAAACCATCAACCGAAATAACGCATATTTAGTTAAGTAGTTTTTTTTACATATAAAAATAATTACTTTTAGTTTAAAACGGTCAGTTTTTTTTGACAACCGAAGATTGTGCATTAAGAGATGTACGAGAAATCGAGCTTAAATTATTTTGTGTTCAGTGCTATGGGCAGCACTGTTTGAAACAGCTAGCCGAAGTCCCTTTGGGAGGGACGACGTCCACAGGAAGTAAACTGGTAATCTGTACCGACGTCCGCCTAATGTGCCGGTGGTGGTGATGACGACGAAACAAACAATGCTAAGATCGTAAACCAACTGATCGTCCCCGTGTTAGCGCAGGTGGTAGGGTGTTTGCATGATGAAGTTAACAACGACTAACAGTTTAGGTTCGATTTCGTGTGTAGTCACATTTCGTTTCTTGTTGGAAGAGAGCCGTGTGAGGCAATGCCTAACATTTGAGTAACGGACGTAAAACACAAAAAACATCGAAGTGTTAATTGATTGGCATAACGGCGCATATCGCTTTATGTCTTACCTCATTTGTTTATTGTTCCCATCAATTCTTCTACCAACTCGCACTAGCGGAACTGCAAGTAATATACAAATACAGTTACACAACAACAGCAAGTACTTCTACTACTCTTAACAATTATTATCCTTTGCTATTACTGTTTCAGGGCATCGCAAACACAGCCAAAGAAGGGAGCCCGTTGGTCTGCGCAGCACCGCGTCTTGCTTTTCTGCTGCTACCGCTGCTGTTTATGCTGTCTCGATTGCGTTGCCGTTATTGTCTACCAAACATCGCCGTGGGTACCGCTGCTGCTCGCTCATTTGTTGACAGCCATTGTATTCTTTCTGCAAATTACTACAGTGATTACTAAGAATACTGCTACAGATGATCTCTATAGTAAACTAATGAGTGTAGTAGGTCTCAACAGGGAGCTGTTGAAAAAATGCAATTTTGCTTTGCATACGTGAGGCGGCGGGTTTTACGCGGCCAGGACCGCAGCGACTACTGTTATAATGAGCCGATCGGAATCGACGACACCTTAGTTTCACGTGTTTTTTTCTGCACGTGCGACCGCCCGTCCATTCGCCCGTTTGTCAGTCGGCCTTCTTGTGTACGTTTTGCGCTTGTATGCGATTGTATGGCCGTGTGTATTTGTTTCAAGTTAAATTAGGCGGATGCGTGTGCTTACTCGCTTGCCTAGCGACTGCTAACTGTCGATTGGCTGACTTGTTGTCCGATGCTTGCGGCCACGCCGTTGCTGACATCGTTGCTAAGAGTTGTAACAACAGCGAAGCAACTTTGGCGTCACCAGTAACAGTGGCCTGTCAACTGAACATTTGAAGTTAGAATAATGACAACAACAACAAGATGTCGCTATAGGATTTTAACCGCCTTATCCTTTGTCTTTGTTACACGTCGACCGCTGTCGAGCTGCTGGCGCTGCTGTTCCGTACGATGGTTTTGACGGTGATGGGTGCTGGTAATAGTAGCAAATTTTTTCAGTGTTGTTGTTATAATGTGACACTGCAAAACGCACGCGACTCGTAGCTATGACGGCGCCGGCGGCAGATGCGGTTGTTGCAGTGACCCGTTGTGTTGTCAGCGGAAGCCTGTCGTTTGATTTGTCTAGCTGGTTGGCAGGCAGGCTGGCTAATAATTGGTTGATTAGATGTCTGGTGCCTGGTTGCAATGGTGATGCGAGCGTGATGGTGCTGAGTGCTTATTGCGACCGCATGTGACCGCGTTTGACCGCATTTTCGCTTTACGTTCCGCTCGATGTTCGAGATAATCTATACCTACTATATACGGTAGCGTTATAGCTAATGGTGGCAGATGCAGAGGAAATTGTGAGACAACACAAAACCATTGGGAATAAAGAATTGAATGGTTAACGAATGCGATCGCAATAACTGGGTGGAAGGCGAGAAAGACCAAAATAAGACTGATTAGTTATATGTGTATATATAAATAGAATTGTATGGTTACATTATGGCCGTTACCGTTTCCCTTGTTTTGAATCGTTTGGTCATTAGCTACTTTATGAGATAATAGAGAAATCGTTCTACGAATGAAGTTCTTCAAACTTGTCTCCCGCGAAAAGTATTGCTATAAGGTAGACGTGGGCCGTTCATAGCTCCGATACTGCTCGATAAGTTTAATATAGTTCACTTTTAATACGCAAATAGGATGTATGCGATAGGTTATTGGAAAAAAAGACTTGCAATGATAGCATAAAAAACATGATCTCATGCACTGCTTGTTAATCATTTTTTAAAAAAGTTTATGATGCTAAAAAGAAATAAACCAGAATATTATTCAATACGCATAGGAACTTCCTAAGTGCGAAAATATGGATCACCACATTAATTTACTAAAAATCTGTTGCGATTTCCTTATTTTCTGAAAATGTAGATTATACTTTATATGAGTCCTTTCTTTTAGTCAGTAATAACGTGCACTGGACATCAGCGCGGGCCTTTTAGAACAATTCCAGCTGGCCTGATGGTATGAAACGCATGCCGCATTTCAGGCTACAGTATACCTAGTATTGGCTTTGAATAAAAAAGTGGCGAAGAGTGGCGGAAATTTATCTTTGCAGTAACGACTGATAGCCAGACCCGAGTGTCTTCTACTCACTTCTTTTAGTACTATACTTTAGAGAAATCCTATAAGTAGATCCCATCGTATACACTTATTTACTATCAAGTTGTTATTCAACTTTCTGAGCTGATTTCAGAATATAGCGAAACCACTATAATTTAACGGACGAGTGTCATCGTTATTCAGCTATTTTTTTGTAGTCGAGCTTGTCATTTTATTGAAATACTTTGATTATGCCCATCTTGCTATTTTTTTGCGGCGTACAGCGGTCGTCTTGTTCGGTCAGCGTAAAGCACAATGTCAGCCTAAAACGGCTATCCCATTGTAATCTTACGGCATGCAGTAATGCCTATAAATTAAAACCCATGTCATTTTTAATTGGACACTGTCAAGGCTAAGCATATGTGTGATTGGCACAGGCGTGCGGGGGGTCGGTCTTACGAAAGTACTCCTCACACCCGCCCAGCCTTTACCAGCTTCCCATCAGCTAACGCTGTACACAATGGTGGTGTTGCCTTCACTGGGCTCGTTTTATACTGATTACCTTAAATACAGTTTTGTAAGTAGATAGGCACTGATTTGCATGACTGAGATACCACTATGCTATCGTTGCCAATGTTTTTGGTAAATACGGCTAGTAAAACGAATTCCCTATCCTATAGAGGTAAAAAAAATTTTTGTTCTTTCAAGAATTCGGGTATAGGGGCGCAGACATGGAAATAATATCATTATTACAACATTGGGCGACAGACAAGTGACTCCTAGAAAGACGTACGTGCGCCTGCGATTGCTTCGACATGTTATATCACGAATAATATGGTTCCTTTTTTCTTCATGATAACAACCCGTTCATTAACATATTAGACACTAGAAAAAAAATGACACTAACACATCCAAAGCAGCTGTTATTATTTTTGCAAAGAATATGCTTTAAACCATTAATTTTGCTTAACATAAAGCGGGCGCGTCGCTACGTGTTGTCTCGAGAAACATAGCTACCTTCGTGTTAGGTAATATATGCCGTTTGAGCTTTTCTACGTTACACAAGATATTAACTACGCCACTTTTTGTTCTTTTTCATCCCAATATTCCTAATGACTGTGGTTATTGAAGTGCAAGAAGTCGTCACTCAAGCTTGTTTTCGTCATAGTGGCACGCGAAATGTCTTTGTCTGGCGTCCATTGGAAGTGGTGTTAACGCCGCTGCTGCTGCCCACCCACACTAGCGAAGTCGCTCTCGCCGGTGGCCGTCGATGGCTCCAGCTGCTACTCGCCAGCTGTTGCTATTGCCATCGTCGGTAAGCGGCCAGCCATTGCACTAATCTGTGCTTTTACGCTGTCACAGTCCCTATTAAGTCTGCTGCCGGCTGCTACTCAAGAGGCACAAATTTCATGCTGATCTTGATCACAATAGCGTTATTGTTGAAGTAGTAGCGACACGACTCACTCACAGACAGACACCAATGCGAAAAAATAATAACAATGCCTAAGAATCCGACAGGAGCTCGTTAAACTGTTTTTGTGAAAAAGCCGATTGATTTTTCTTTGTATTGAAGAGCACCGGTTGTTACCGTATGAGGGTGATGAAGCTGGCGGACGAACATAGAAGCATAGCTGAACATAGACGAACATAGCTGACAGACAGCTTCAATAGATGATAAAGGGAAGAACTTTTGCCGGTGCAATTAGCGTCAAACTTCGACATGAGGCGATATGTATAAACAAAAATCAATCTGCTAGCTAAACAGGTAAAATATTTTTGGAAGTAACGGGGGGAGCTGGAGAAGAGCAGGCATGGCAGCGGATATCGCTAATTCTGCTGCTACTTCAAAAGGCGACCCCATGCTTGCTCCAACCGCGCAATTTGTACGCAGCAAGCTATGTATTGTCGTACATATCGTTGATTATTTTTATATTACACATAACATAAAAAGTTAGTGCTACAATTGTCGAGCAAAATGGCGGGCATCATGATTTTAACTGAATTAAAATATATGTTGTTGCTATTGCCACTGCGAGCTGTCCATTAACATTGGTATTTAATTGCGCTATATATATACTATAGAGAATTGAGGATTATAGCGCTAATGGGAAGATCGAGTAATGACAATACGGACTTTTTTTTTGTCTGTCTATAGTGGAACCTTGCTGTTCACGAATCCTAATGCTAAACGTTATCAGTACCGGAAAGACAACGAGAGATTGGCCGTACCAAAAATCCAGTCAGTTACGTGGTCGCACTGTAGACCGCTAGCAGGACTCACGCAGCGAAGGCGACCATCTTTGGTACACTCTGTTTCGATTTATTTTTTTCTAATCTAGGAAGCGATTGAGCTCATTATACGCGTCTGTTTTTGCCAATTTGCGTGAGATCGTTATGCAACGTTATAGCACGAAAAGGCGTGGAAAACATGGAAACAAAGTCGATATGCATACAAACCAAGCCATAATGTAGCGACTGCCAGCTTTTACTGCTGGAGTACCTCTTGTTTAAGCTGGCCATAAGTAAGCTTGCTCCCACATAATATTTGGAGCAAACCCGATCTCACTGCTCGCTAGCGTTCTTGACAGCCGCTTTATTTCCTCTAGCGCTCAATCCCACAACAATGATCGGTTATTGAACACGAGAATACAAAGACCTAACTGTATAGAACATGTATTTTTCTGATATATGGCTTTTCTTGGTATAAACTGCACGCTAGCTTTGAATTACCAGCAAACAGTAAATTTAGATAGGCTGTAAAATGCTGGATGTCGTCACAAAACTTCCGCCGTATGTCACATCATGTTGTTACCACCAACGTACCCTGTGATATTTGCTTAAATACATTCATCTACCATTATACGATTTAACGTTTGCACTAGTTTTCTTTACGATTCCTGCTAACACTCTCTCTAGTGTGTTATACATGTAATATATTTACTGCTAGTGTACGATATTCGTATATGGGATATATGGGATGTTATAACATTTGTAAAACTGTCGAAAAGTAGTGATTATTTCAGAGACTATTTCAAGGCTAAACTGCATGCTCAAGTGCACGGTCCGCCTTGGTTGGGATGGTTTCAGCATACGTAACGCGTGACATCTAAACCCTCGGTGATTCATAGGCGTATAGATCATCTCGATCTTCATCAGGTCGTCAACCTGATTTTTGGCTCATATCATAGAGCACTGATATGTAAAGTGATACAT